CATTTTTGTGCACACAAGCCTACAAATACATTTAACTTAAACAAAAATTTTGTTTGTTTTGGTACCGGGGATTGAACTTGGGTCCTTGCGCTTGCAAGGCAGGCCACCGAACTGCTGAGCTAAATCCCCAGCCCTTAAACAAAAATTTTATGAAAGATTTTCATTCTTATCACCTGTAGTTTACTTCAATGTTGTTAATTCTATTTTGCTAGTTTTAAAAAATGCCGATCATGACCCCCTAAACTGCTGATTTTAACACTGACATGGGAAGACGCTGCTGCTGGAGTGTAGAATGATGCATAAGCTGGGTGTGACTTTGAGTTTCTCTGTGAGTCCCTTAGTCTCAGGTCTTTCTGAGCAACCTGAAATGCCACCTCTGAATTTTTGTTTTGTCAAACTAGCACATCAAAGGATGGCTTGGGAAGGAATCCGCTGGTCCTCAAATCCCCCTCTGAGATCACTCCCTCTGCTCAGCTTTTCAGGAAAAAATACTTGGCACCCACTGCTATGCCCAGAGAGGCCTGCAAGGCCCACCTGTCTGTCCAACTCTTGGACTTCTCCTTTTCTGCCTAACTTCTGGTTTCTGTGCCTAAGAAGACTGTAGTTCTTTTTACCCTATAGGAAGACTAAGGAACAATGATGATGAGGGCTGATTTTTGTGGACCACTTTTGCACTCATTCAATCTTCATAACAGTGCTACTGTGTGTACTATTATCCCAGTGCCATGAATTAAAAAAAAAAAACCCAGAGATTTAGGTGTCTGAATTTATTTGCTCAAGGCTATGTGAGTACTAGGGATGAGGCTAGATTTGGACCCAAGTCTGCATGACTTCCTTGTCCTATGAGTGGAGAGACTGGGGGAACCAGCACGTTCACACAGCCGCAGCTTTGGGTCTTCTTATGCCCACATTGGTTTCTGTGCCTCATTTCATTAGGATTCTTGAGGTCTTATCTTCCAAACATTTTCTTAAAGGAGGGTCATAGCATTTATTGGCGCTTTCCAAAATTCTCAGTTCTTCATTTTTTTTGGGGGGGGGTACTGGTGATTGAACTTGGGTCCTTGCACTTGCAAGCAGGACACCGAACCACTGAGCTAAATCCCCAGCCCCAGTTCTTCATTTTTTTGAAAAATCTAGGTCCATGATGCTCAGCCATTTTTATTTTCCCATACTCTTTGCTCAGAAGGCCATCTATAAGCAGAAACTACATGCAGGTTCAGCCTGATTTCCTTAACTGTGACTTCATAAAGCCCACAAACACAAGAAACAGTGTTAAAGCTCTGGCTTCCATAGAACATACAGTGCCAATAGTACACAGAGGAACTGTTAGGATTAAAGAGATGCACATTTATGCAAAAGTGTTACTGAATCCACAATAAAGTTTTCTGCTGTCCTATAGGGCTAGAGACAGAGACAAAGGAGAAATTACTGACAGTATTTTAGATTGTGATGGGAATTAGGCTGGGCTACCTCTGCATGGTCAGGCTGATGTAGCAGTAAGTCAGGACAGGATGGTTGTGTCAGAAATGCCACCGAGGGGATTCAGATTGGCACTGTGTGTGTGTGTGTGTGTGTGTGTTTTGGTAATGGGGGACTGAACTTGGGTTCTTGTGCTTGCAAGGCAGACGGCAGAACCACTGAGCTAAATCCCTGGCCCTGTGTGCACGCATGCGTGCGTGCGTGCATGTGTGTGTGTGTGTGTGTGTGTGTGTGTGTGTGTGTGTGTGTGTGTTTTGGTAATGGGGGACTGAACTTGGGTTCTTGTGCTTGCAAGGCAGACGGCAGAACCACTGAGCTAAATCCCTGGCCCTGTGTGCACGCATGCGTGCGTGCGTGCATGTGTGTGTGTGTGTGTGTGTGTGTGTGTGTGTGTTTGAAGGCAGGGTTTTGTGACATATTCCAGCCTGGCCTTGAACTCACTATGTAGCCTAGGCCGACCTCAAACCCATGTTGATCTTTCTGCCTCAGGCTCCCAAGTGCTAGGATTACAGGCATGCGTCACCATGCTTGTACATTTTTGTACATCTTTAAGAAAATTACTGCTAAATTTTTAAAGATCTGTCCCCTGCATTGTGGAAGACAAAGAGCTTCTGCTTTTGAAAGTGAGGTGGATGACAGAGTTATTGTGAAGCGAGAACACTAATGGTCTTCCTTTGACTAACAGTTCTGAGCCTTTTATCCAGAACTGAATTTAAGCAAAAATGATAGCAATTATTCTCCTGGGGCCTTTTTGAGAACTAGATCAGACGTTCTATAATTCTTAAAGTGACAGGATTATAACTAGATGAGACTCTCAATTCTAAAAATTCTGTGGATTTCATAAAATTGCTAAAGGAGTTAACTTTTGCCATAAAGATGTACATTCCTATGAATTCTTTTTCAGAAAAGGAATATTTTGGGGGAGGGAGGCATACCTCACAATCAGCATTACTATTAGATTAGTAGAATAGTTTTATTTGAGGCCATAATTCATGAAATAAATAATTTGAAAATATTTCGTTTTGGAAACATTTCAGTGATTTCTTTGCTTTTTTTCTTTTTTGGTACTGGTGATTGAACTTGGGACATTGTATTTGCAAGGTGAGTGTCGGAACCACCACTGAGCTAAATCCCTGGCACTATTTTAGTGATTTCTATGATAGGAATAAAACATAAATTTACATGGCACCATGCCTTCCTGGCAAGGGCAAAATCCTGAGTTCGATCCTGGGTACCACACACACACACACACACACACACACACACACACACACACACAAATCAAGATGACAAAGTCTTTTGATGGGGAAAACAACATCCTTTGTCTACAAAGTGCATCTGAAGAGCCCAAAGGGGACTTTTTAGTGAGAGATGCCTATGTTCCAGGGTGCACCCCGATGCCAGCCTCCTGAATGGAGCACCTCGTGTGGGGTGCCCTCAGCTTGGAGCCCATTCTTGCTGTTACATCCACGAAGATGTACCAGAAGTCCGTGTGGGAGGGGTCAGCATCCTGGCAATAGCATGTTTTCAGGTTTTGTGCAAATACTGGAGAATCTACTTCCCCCAACAATTATGGTCTAGCGATGTCACTGCTTCTCTGTATCTGGAAATTAGGATTTTAATTAAGTTAGACCCAGAATCACCCACTAATGTTAACTGAGAATAAATCTCTCTCACCCTGCCCCACCAGGAAGTAGAAGATCCTATAATAGTGTCCTCATCTCTGTCTTTATTAAGCCTGAAGGGCTCAGCTTTTGTCCTTTGGGTTAGGGGAGCACACTTGCATTAGACCTTAGGGGTTTTCTAGCAGTGAAAGCAGTGGTTTGGGGAGCTTCCTGTAGAGACTTGTAGTGGAAACTCACAGGCTAAGCGGGAAAGCCAAAAAAAAAAAAAAAAAAAAAAAAACCAACAACAACAAAAAAACAGTAGTATTGGTGACCTGTTTAGACTTTGAAGCCAATTTAATTGTTTGTAATGATTATTTATCTTAGTTGCTAAGATAAATAAAAATACAGTTCTTAAGTTGAATACAAAAAGGTTACTCAAGGGAGAACCCTTTTGGCAGCACTTGTTGATTTCTTTTGTGGAGTTTAGGGTCCATCAGAAATGATGGTCATGACCTGGTTAGCAGTGCTAACAGATACACTTTTTAAAAAATGTGAGTTGTAGGCTGCCATTGGTGTTGAAGAAGGAATTTTATGGAGCAGTTCATCATCTGGCTACCAGATGTTCTGGAGTATATGCTTTAAAAAAAAAGATTATCCCTTTTATGGATTTCCTTTTTACAGAGTGTAGGGACTTAGAGAGCCCACAATTAAGGAAACCAGACTGAAGTTGCATTTTCATATTCTTTGGGAAAGTGTATCTTAGTGGATTTCTCTCTGTTCAAGCAATTAATGTTCCATGTCATATGATTTTATATATCTTATTGCCTCAACCCATATTTACTGTTACAATCACCCATATTTACTGAAATCCTGCTGTGAGCCAAGCACTGTGCTAAGAATCGTGGACAATATTATAACAGGTGAGATCTGAATTCTGATTTTGCAAAAGGTTATAAACGTTTCTTTTGATGACATGAAAAGGCAACGTGGAAGGCCGTGATAGAAAAGATAAGGTATAAGCACACGCAGTGTTTTTTAGGCCAAGGTCCATTCTCTACCAAAAGCAACAAATGACACATAGGAAGGGGGAACTGAGACGGAGGGATGAAGAGGAAGGGGAAGGCAGGGGAAGTGAGGGTACATGTACTCCAACTCCCCGCAGTGAATGTAGTTATTATACACTGCAAGCATGGACTAATAAACATAAGAAAAAGCCCAAAGCAAAGAATGAATGCATAGCTGGAGAATCATCTGTTTACTTGGCTTCATCGGGGCTCACTGTAGAATCAGTTCTGCCCCCACCCCCAGGTTTTCCTCTCCCTGGAAGCTTCCTGCTATAGTTTTTCCAAGGTCCCTGCCTACGTGTCATGTCACATTAGCAAGCAGCAGGCCGCAGCAGTCTTGGCTACGATAGAAAATCCTGTGTGTTTCCTTGGAGGAAAAAAATATCTCCCGTTTGTTTCCAGTTATTGTCAGTTATTTGTTCATCATCTCAAGGTCCATCCCTACTGGATGGTAATTGTGGGACAAATTGTCGGTTATTGTGAGGGTGAGTTTGTTTTTTGGATTTTAAATTAAGGTAACTTACAAAGATATGTGCACTCTCTGGGGGTGGGGATATAGTGAGAAAAATGGGGGCAAGGGAAAATAAGGATTGAAAAGAATAAATAAAACATCAATGAACTCATAACTTCTTCTCCTTCTCCACTCCTTGCTCCTTTTCCTTCTTTTGTTTTGTTTTTGTTTTTGTTCTTTTTGAGACATTCTTGCTACAAAGCCCAGGCTGGCCTCTAACTGGCAGGCCTCCTGTTTCAGCTACCTGAGTGCCTGGACTACAGCATGTGCCACCTTACTTGACTCAAATTTTAGGTTCTTCAGTAAGATACTTCCAGTCCTTGAAATTCTTTTCCACCTGCTGTTCCCCTTCCCTTAGCCACTGTGTTTCCCATAAAACCGAAGTGGCCAGGAAAGAGTGCAAAAAGATTCTTTTATATCTTTACCAGCATTGTCAGTGGACCTGGACCTGCCTTACATACACATAGGAAGCTTTTTACATGTACTATGGTTCAGAGTTGCTTGTTGATTCTCATAGTGAATAAGGACTACAAACGTCCCCTATCCATTCTTTGGTTATGGGATGCCTCTTCATTATCCTTAGCTGGTGGTAATATCTTCTGTTAGTGTTCATTACATAGGAAGCATTTGCTGGACTTTGGGACACTTGCTGTGAATTTGGGACAAAGAGATCCACAATTTGCAATTATTAGCTTTGAGGAGCTTACACTAGACATGTGTAGAACTCTGATTTCTCAAGCATGCTTGCTTGCATGCCTCCTAGAAATATTAAAAGGAGATTTTAATACTACTGTCACTTGACTTCTGGATATGTCCATGATGCATTGTTCAGTAAGTAAAGTAAGAGGGAGAATAACATGTAAAGTAAGGTTCTTCATAAAAACATATATTTCTTTGCTTAATATGTGTGTTTATATATTAGTATAGGCTTATACAAATGAGAAGATATGTTGTATATCTACATCCAGTTATTAGTATTGGTTGATGTTTAACAGTTAGCTGGGATTGATTAGTGGGAAGAAATTAGGGGAGAGGCAAATCTTACTTTTCCTTTAAATAGGAAAATGGCTATTAATTATAATAGCAATTAATAACAATATTACCCCTATTAATACGTATAATAAGCGTGCACTACAGCTTCAATTTGAAAGACCTTATGTACAATTTTAAATACATAGTTAATAAATAAAAGCTATTTATATATGAAATTTTGGTTTTTGTTTTATTCAGCACATCATGCAGCGAATTCAGAGACTTCAGGCTGAGTGGGTCTTGGAAGTAGATACTTTCTTGAGCAAGACGCCCTATGGGTACCGGTCTTTTTCAAATATCATCGGCACTCTTAACCCCACTGCCAAACGACACTTGGTCCTCGCCTGCCACTATGACTCCAAATATTTTCCCCACTGGGACAACCGGATGTTTGTGGGAGCCACTGATTCAGCTGTGCCGTGTGCAATGATGTTGGAACTTGCTCGTGCCTTAGACAAGCGACTCCTTTCCTTGCAGGTATCTACTTTCCTTTTGTGGATTCCTAGAATAAAATGCATAAGCAGCAACTCGGAGTGAATTCTGAAATCCTTGGGGTAATGAGAATGCCATTTGGAAAGGGAGACCTTTGGATACATTTTTATGATTTGTTATAAAATGATATGAATTTGAACGAATATTAATTGGAAGCTTGCATGATTTAAAATGTCAACCGTGAGCTATACACCTAATACATGAGAGCATTCATTAACTGGGACCTAAATTTCTCAGCCTTGGATATGTATTACATGAAATGTGACATGTCTTGGCAAATAATGAAAAAGAAGGAAGGTTGGTATAGGTCTAAGTAGGAGAATTATGTTTTAGGATGAGCTATGTTTATTTCTTTCGCATTTATATAGCCATGGAGCCTCAGGATCTTTGTGAGAGCTGGCTCTTGAGATGGGGGGAGGGAGCTGCAAGAAAGTGGTTCTAAAGAGAGAGTGGGTAATTCAGACACATCAAGATGAAAAGCATGAAGCAGAAATGCATTATTGTCATTATCTGTGAATCTCGGCTCAATTTTATGTAGCATAGCAGAGCTTTTGTTATGCTTTCAGCTCAAAATACTTCTGGGACTCTCAGATGTTATTTCAGTCTCTGTGTTTTAAGGGTATATTGGAAAAAAGTGCTAAACTAGATGAAGACATTTTGTTCTGATATCACTCATAACCAAGTAAACACAACAAAGCAAAAACAGAAACTTTGTTCACAGGCAACAAATGCCTTTTTTTCCCACAGAGCTTTAGGAAGGGTCCAACTTTTGATACAATGAGGTAAAGCAGTAAAAGGTTTATCTTGTAATAAAAGAAATAGAGATATTTGGTTCTATTTTTGCTGGACATACTGAACTTGAAGAAGGCAAGAATTGTTTATATGCTCCCAGTATACTTTTCACTGTTTTTTCATTTTGTTTTGTTTTCTGAATCTCTCATAATGCCTTTGTCCCATCTATACACTGCTTTTAACATGCATCTTTCCCCAGCAATTGGGAGAGGCCATTTGAAAGTTGATATAAAGCATAATTTTTCATATTTGCATTTCTAGTATAAGGATATGCAGTGAAATGAAGTATAATTTAAAGGTATGGTTTTGTGTAGTGAGTGTGTTTTCTCTTGGTAAACTATTTTAACTTTCCCCATATAGTTTATTCCTGCTTTTGGTGATCAGAAATAGAAAGGACTGAATGAATTGTTTGGTGGCGAATCCCCATTAAAAAATTTGAGTCAACATATACATTCCCTTACCTACCTTTTCTTCTAGCGGTAAAGGATGATGCGGACAAAGTTTTATTTTATTTTATTTTGGTACCAGGGATCGAACTCGGGTCCTTGTGATTGTAAGGCAGGTATCAGAATCACTGAGCTAAATCCCCGGCTCGACAAATTTTTAAAAATGTCTCTTTTTTAATGCAGACTTGGAGAGTATCAGATTTATTCTTCTAGATGTACTTTAATTAATTTTTGAATTAAGGATTAATTTTAAATTCTTCAGCTATTGTGGATTGGGAAGGTGGTGGTGGGTGGAAAGTGACCTGGGAGAGGGCTGGAGAATAGACTAGATTATTGTTCCAACTCTTTGCAGCCCTTCCTCTCTCTGGTGATATGATAGAACTGTAATCACACGCTCACTTCTTTGCCTTGTAACTTTGCTGAGTTCTCACATGGTAGCCAGTTGCACTTCCTCGCCTTTGACCTTGGATTTGCTTATGGGACTTGGTCAATGGAACATAAGCGGAGGTGACAGGAGGCTGGAAATGAGCTTGCCGTCTGTATCTTTGCCATCAGCTAGAGAAGGGTATGCTGTAGCTGGCCTACCGGTTCCAATGGGAGGATAAGCGACGTGAAGCAGAGCCAAACTTGCTGACTGCTGCTCGAAGCAGAGCTGCTCCAGAGGAACCTAGCTATACTGGTTGCTCCCCAGGTGACCCACAGAGGTTATGCATCCTATTAACATGTATAAGTATTGTTTTAAGCCACTAAGTTTGGAGTATTAGCTAACTTATTCAGTCTTGGATCAAGAAAAACTGAAGGTAATTCATTAGCTATATGAACTCTGATAGCTTGGCATTTATAACATTACCATGAAGACCTTCACAAATCAAGTCATGCAGATTCCTCTAACTATAAGGTGCAAGCCTGAGCTCCTAGAAATTGAAGACCATGGTTATTTTCCTGTCAATCCTGAAAAGAAGCAAAAAAAAGCAGGTTGCATCGTGGAACTCAGCATTAGTGTTCATAGAAGTCTCCTCCTGTCTAAATGAGTTGATGCTAAGAGAAAATAACAAAAGTAAATAATTGCACTGATTATTGGAGTCACCCAGCTTTGAAAATTCAATGAGGCACCCTAACCTTCAAGCCTGCAGAAGATGTAAACTGCTGTCTTTTGCCTCCACTCTGGGTTTGGGCAGAATACCTCTTATCCCAAGCTGTACCATTTCTTTTTTTTTTTTTTTTTGTGGTTATGCTGTTTGATTTGGAGCTAGAACTTTGTAAACACTAAGGGCTACGTGAACAACTGGAAGCTTAGAATGTCTCCACTGAAGTATGCACCTTGTAGCTTTTCCCAGTAAGAAAAAATCTACTTAGCTGCTTAATGCTTATCAAACCTGGAGTGCGTGTATATTTCCCAGACACTGTACATACTTTGCTTAAAGCTATCAAGAGTTATGAAGACTTAAAAGTAAAATAAGATGTCTTTTTCTATGGTCTAAGTGAGGAGCAATATTAAGATAATTGAAATGCTTAGCATACAAAAATAATGTTAAGTTTTCAGAGGATAAAGACCTTTTTCTCCATTATTATCGAGATCACCCTAAAACAATTGGAAAAACTGTATTTTTGGTAGAAAGTAGGACACGCATGTTAGCAGGTACCACTATGGGAAGACAGAGGTGGATGGAGACAGAGCAAATGACATAGAGTGGAATGGAGTCATATTCCCTGATGAAGTGGGATGGGAACTGGAAGAAGACAGCGTATCTCCTGATAAAATCCTGGAAAGGCTCAGGGATTAGAGGTGTGATATAACAGGAAGGCAGAGGTGAGCCTGGGAGCTGGCACAAAGAGCATTAAGCAGTCTGTGTAAGGAACACTTACATTGATTCCTACTCCTCACCAGTTAGGCAGGAAAGAACCCCACTGGTACCTCTGCAGAAGATAAGATAATATTTTCTTAGAGAATTTGAACCGATGAGGTTCTGAACTTGAGGATACCAGATATAAGAAGGGCAGCAACAAGATACCTCAGGGAAGTCAAGGAGATGAAGTCAAAGTCTACACGTGGAATAGTCAGATCTTTAGTCTCTCCCCCATTTCCAGCACCAGAAGGCCAGCAGCCAGCTTATACCCATTAGATAGGAATCCAGCTTCTTTCTCCAGAGGATGTGGACCACCTCACAGGAAAGGTTACAGACAGGGACATTTGGGGATTCTCCATGAGAATGCAAGATTGCCCTTTGGTGAAGCCAAGAAGTTTGTATTTCCAACATGTTTTTGCACGTTATTCTTTAACATGAATGAGCAGAAAAGTTGGCCAGACATATGAGAACAATATCTCTCATGAAAGAAAGAAGCAAAATAAATAATACAGATTGAAAAATGAAGCTGGATGAAATAGAATATTACAAGGAGCGGAAGATAACTTGATACTTTAAAAATATCCTTGGAGAGATAAGACTAAAAGATGTTTCTATGAAACAAAAATGGAATGTTCAATTACAGAACAATCACAGGATACAAAAAGGCTCTGGGGAATTAAAAATTAAAAATAATTTTTAAAAAATCAGTAAAATAGTTGGATCCTAAAGTAGAAGAAATATTCTAAAGTAGAAGAAAGAGGAACAGTAATAAGAAAAGAGATGGTGATTATTTCTGGAGGATCATTTCAGGAATTCTAATAGGCCATATAAAAAGTATTCAGCATGGGAATAGCATCAGGCTTCTCAAAAGAAACCTTGGGATCTAGAAAACACTGAAATTGTGCCTTAAATATTTCACACTTGATCTTAGCCAAAAGGCCAAGAAGTGATGTGCCTTAAATATTTTAAGTAAAAATAATTTGCAACACAGAATCTGCATACCCAGCCAAAGAAAATATGAAATAGAATGAAAATATTTTCTAATGTAAAGCTTGGATAGTTCTCATCCCCATAGATGCTATTTCAGTTTAGAAGTTGCTCAAAGATATGCTTCAGCAAAATCAAGGAAGAGGAAAGTCATGGGTTCTGGTCACTGGGAATCCCACACAGGCAGAGGGAATCCATAGGGTGATGGTGAAGGGAGACCTGAGACAGCAGAAGGGGAGCAGGCCTTGTGAGCAGCTGGCCTTCGATGGAGCAAGCAGAGGGAGAGGACCTCTGGAGGGGGATTTCCGTACAAAACAAAAGCCCCTAGACACATGAAAGACACAGGAGCTACAGTATCTGAAAAGTTTGATCACAAGATTGTGAGATATTTTAAACCCAAAGAAAGTGAAGCACAGAGCCACGCCTTCTCCCGCCCCAGACGCCATCGCTCCAGTGCCAGGAAGGTAGCCGCGTGGGGGCCCCTGAACCCCATAACTCCCCTCACACACCCCTCCGCTCGCTCTCAGACCTCTTGACTGTGCCAGTCTTTGGACCCACTCTGAAGAGGCAGAGGTGGTTATCAAGGGTATTTTTCTGAGTTCCCAACTTTGAACATCTTTAAAGAAAGGGCGTGGGAAACCTGTAGTAGAACCGTGTGGAGTTCAACCATTCAGAAGGTTGGGAAACTCAATCTGGGCCTTCCAGCCTGAGGTCAGTCTGCATCATGGGGTTCAGCCATCAGCTAACTGAGATCAGGGGTCTTGCATCCTCACTCTGTCTGAGCCATTACATGGTAAATATACTACATTGAAATTTTATTCACTGCAGACATGTTCTGGACTGCTTCTTGATTTCAATTTAATTCAAATGATTTAAGGGTGATAGATTAGTGACTACCACAGGTGGTCAGTTT